AACAAACTCATCACCGAAGCTGATTGCATCAACATCAAAGATGAAGCATGGTAGAACCTTGAGTTCATCTTAGAATCTAGAGTTATGAGAAATGGATCAAGGCTTCTCTATGAATCTTAGCATTAGTGTTTTGAATACAATCTCTGGTCTTCCCTTTGCAGGTTTATCACCACTAAGATCCCAACAGATTTGAGAATTCAAGTTCAAGAGGTCACCTTCAATGTTCACAAGGTAACTAACTAACTATATGCAAATGAGCTAAAACTCTGCTTCATATGATATTAAACATGAATGCAGTAAAAGAGTTCTTGAAGCCATTCTTCCTAAAGAATCAAGAATGAACAAAAAGACTAACTAAGATCTCGATCGTTTCTATTTCTCAATTTCTATCCGACTAAAATTTCGGTGTATAAGATCATTCTAGTTGCTCAATGATAAACTAAAATGTAAGAGATAAGCTTCTCACCTCGACCTTTCTTGAAACAGTATACATTGATCTCAAAATGTGGCTACATAGTCCGAATGGAACTTCAATCTTCGATCTCAACCCAGGGGTATGACCTAAAGCTCGAAAACTTCCCCGGTGGCTCGGAAACATTCGAAATGGTTCTTAAATACTGCTATGGTTTCCCAGTAGACCTGAACTCGGCCAATGTAGCCCCATTAAGATGTGCATCAGAGTTTTTGGAGATGACAGAGGAATATGAAGATGGAAACCTTATATCCAAGACAGAGTCCTTCCTCACATTTGCAGTCCTTTTATCATGGAAAGAGTCACTGGCTGTTCTCAAAACTTGTCAGAGACTTTCTCCATGGGCTGAAAATCTTCAAATTGTGAGGCGATGCTGTGACTCGATAGCTCGGAAACTCTCTAAAGAGAACATAGTAGGAGATACGGTCAGTGAAGATGCGTGGTGGCTAAATGATTTAACCACACTACGCATAGACTATTACACAAGAATTATAACTGCAATAAGAACCAAAGGTATAAAGCCAGAGATTGTAGGTCAAAGCATAGAGCAGTATGCAAGGAAGTGGTTGCCAGGCAATGAAATGGAAACAGGACTTGGAGAATATACACAGGACAAAAGTGACATGCAAGCAAGTACTTCGAGTTGTAGGAAAGATGAACTTGGAATTGGATACAACAAAGAACATAAATCCATTATTGAAAGCCTACTAAGCATACTTCCTCCTCAAAGAGAAGCAGTTTCTTGCAAGTTCTTGTTGCAAATGCTAAAGATGGCAAGGGTGCATTCTGCATCAGCAGCTTTGGTTTCAGAACTAGAGAAAAGAATAGGAATGGTGTTGGAGGATGCCAATGTGATTGATATTTTAATACCTAGTTGTACAAGTTATGACCAAGGAAACTTGCCAAAGTAAGTATTGTTCTTAGAAGCTCAATACGTACCGATTAGAAGTCTCCAACGCTTATCGAATTCACTAACAGTCATATTCTTTGATTTTCATCAATGACTTGCTCCTCAGTTCACAAGAACGCACTATGCATGACATAGAAGTAGTGCAAAGGCTCCTAGAATATTACTCACTGTTTGAACAACAACAGCAGCAACATAGAATTGGGAACTCTAATGTGTGTAAGCTCATAGACAATTACCTAGCTGAACTTGCCAGTGATCCAAATCTCTCCATCACTAAGTTTCAAACTTTAGCCAACTCACTGTCAGAAAATGCAAGGCATTGTCATGATGGATTATACAGAGCCATTGACACCTACATCAAGGTTGCATATTGATTGTCTTGTTTTTAATAATGTTATCATTTGCTGCAAATTATACATGCTTGGAATGAAAGAAAAAAAAAAATCGCTTTAGAGACTTACAGACTGTTCTCCTCTACAGACTCATCCTTTACTATTTGAGCACGATCGGAGAAAGCTATGCAAAATCATGAACTGTGAGAAACTGTCGCTTGATGCTTGTGTGCATGCTGCACAAAATGATCGACTGCCTCTAAGAACTATAGTTCAGGTGACATTATATAAGCCCTATAACTTAGAGTAATCTAGTTTAAAATCCCAGCAACATATCTACACTGTAGAATGTAATTAAAACAACAAGCAAAGATAGAAGAATCAGAGCAGATAGAAGCATCAGAACATAAAGGCTGCCCATAGGCTCTCAAAGGGTGTAGACAAAAAGGAATATGGCTTACTAAAACCAATTGCCCTTATTTCCCGACAAAGAGATAAGGTTTGTCACAAATACAATATACTGCATAACATATCTTCAAACAAGGTTAAATTAAGATCATCAACAAAAAGCAAATTGTAGAAGCATCTTCCCTGAGTCCCATTTCCTACTCATATATTAATAACAATAATCCTTCCATGCATTCTCCCTTTCATAGCCCTAGTGGGAAAGACCTATTTATGTTCCATTGTAGTAATACTAATACAATTGGCATAAGGAAGAATGTATTCACTGCTTATATAGTTGGCAGTCAGAACAGGGAAGTAATTAGACATATAAGAAGACTATAATATTAGATTTCTACATCTTTTCTACTTTGAATAAGTAGTGGGTCAATAGTTTAGAGTTCAAAGTGGTGATCACAATGGTTCTGAGTGAATATGCAGGTTCTTTTCTCAGAGCAAGTGAAGATGAGGTCAGTGATGCAAGAAAAGGAGACAGCACCTAATAGTGATAACTCAGATCAAGATGGAAACCACTTATCAACAGACAGAGAGATTAAAAACCTGAAGGCAGAACTCGAGAGCGTGAAGGCACAGATGGCAGAGCTGCAACAAGAGTATGAAAAACTAAACAACAAACAGAAAAATGTAACAGGTTGGGGATTTGGTTGGAAGAAGATAAAGAATTCCTTCCACACAAGAGTTGATGGAGATGAACCTGCCCATCGGAGATCCAGCCAGACTAGTTCTCGAATGAGCTTAAGACGAAGATTATCACTGACCTGAAGATCAGATTCCTCAAAAAGATAAATGGTTCAAAGAAGTTGCTATTCTACTTCACTTGTGCATGATTGTCTTGTGGCTGTATAGAGATACAACTCCAGGTCTTTTATATTGTTTACCTAGCAGAATGCAGACAATATATCCTTTCTTTTCCATAAGAACATCTTTCACCAAGAACAAGAACAAGAACAGTATAGAATATGGATTTTTTGTATCTTTTTCTTTCCAATAGCTACAAAGACTGCAGAAAAAATAGTTTTACGTAATGATCTTTTCCATACAGCATGTAATGGCAATTGTCAACTCATTATAACCACAATATTGCTATCGAATATTTGATGATGAACCCACAACACATTCGGGAATTATCTAACTAGAATCCACAGAATACGTGGGAATAATACAAATGCAACTCTAATGTATTTATTGATTCAAGCAACAGAACAGAACTTCCTCCTGCAAAACATCCCATAAGAGGGCCAACAAGTTCATTTCATAATTAGAAAATCAAACATTTATCATTAAGCTCATCAACCTATTACACTATTATCGTTTAGAAGAAGAAGAAAATCCAAAACAGATCACAATTAAGAAGCAACTGGGATACGTTTCTTCACACTACCTACCAGACCTCATGCTACTCCAAGGAAACTTAGTCGATGGTTCAACAGTTTCAGCACTGCCAGTTCGTCGGCGGTCTCTATTAGAAAAACCCTTGTAAGCTTTGAATCCAACAGGCTCCTTCTCATGTAGCCAATGCCTCTTGGCCTCGCCCTCCTCAACAATGCTGGACTTAGACTGTTTATTCATATTCCTCTTGTCCTCCTCTATAATCCGGATCGGATACACGTCCGGAGAGATTGATAAGGGATTCCTGAGAGTAACATAAGCCTTCTTGTAATCAGGCTTTGCGATCAAAAGCCCTCCGCGCTTCTTTTTCTTCCCGTCCATGTTGAGAGTACGAACTTTATCGACCTCAAAGCCGTAGAGGCTCTCAAGGACGCGCTTGATTTCGATTTTGGAAGCAGAAGGAATGGTTTTGAGAGCAATTTCAGTGATGTTGGTGAAGGAGGTTGGCATAAGAAGCTTGATTGGAAGATTAGCGAAGTGAATAACTCTTCTCCCGAGTCTGCTTCCCATGTTCTTGGCTTTGCTTTCTTCGCTTGGCGCAGTTCCTCCCAAGAGCGTCTATGAACAGCAGGCGGAGAAGGATTGAAACGGTACCCTGCAAGACGCGACGAAAGCGTTGCCGAGAATCGGGCTGGACCGCGGTTGATGCTAGCTACACTAAGCCCACCCAGAAGCCCATTAAAGTTTTTTTTTTTTCTTTTCTTTTCTTTTTCTCTTTTAATTTCATTTTAAAAGACAGAGGAAGTTCACGTTGGATGGGATTCGAACCTCCATGATCCCACCTGCCCTCCTATTTCGATTTTCATTTACAGAAATTTCTCCTTTAATTTTGAAAATTTTCTCATTTAATAGGAAATTCACACGTGGAATTTAATTTCTCCATCTTTTTATATAATTTTTAAAAATATATTAATTTCAAAGAATTTATATAATACTCAATTACATTTTTCAATATAATTTCTATTAAAAAATACGAAACATTCTAATAAATTCAATAATATTTCATAACAAAAATAAAATAAAATAATAATAATAATAATAATATATATGGTTGAACCCAATTTCTAAAAATTAAAATTTTAATATTATAAGATAGTATTCCATATATAAATAAATAAATATTTATTTACAAAGTACGTAAATATATATATTTATTTAAATATCTTTGGCACAAGAAGAAGGGGTGCCTTCTTCAACAATACGAAAAAATCATTTGAAAATCACCATTAATATCTTGATATTCAACACCTGGTACTCGAACATTGGTTCGAGATATTTTCTCTACTCCTATTCCAACTTCCCTAGAGCCTCGGGTTTATTTACCAAGTGAATATATATAAAAACATGAATAATATGGTAAAGAAATGAAAGTTGCCCAAAAAGTGCATTTTCTAAATCTGCAGTCAGATTGGGAAGAAGAATAAGAGGGTTATTTAAGTGAACCAATCCCACCAGGTACTGAAATATTGTTGATCAAAGAGTGTTCATCTTTGAGTTACATTTCTTCCTATCATATCATTCATAATATTGTTGACAAAATTGTACTAATTATATTGAATTACCTACTACGCTACAACCTACATGTATCGATCCTTCCAATTCCTTTCTGATCTGCCTTTACTTCTTCAATGCAACCGCTATTATCTTCTACTGCTCACAGCTTTGCCTTTGCTCAATTCCGAGAGTTCCTCGATCAACTTCCTCTCGTTGCTGCTCAACTTTTTCGGGATTTCGACCTGCACGCGAACTAACTGATCTCCCCTCATGTTCCTTTTGTTCAGAAGAGGAACTCCTTTCTTTGACATCACGAGTGTTGTATTTGGCTGTGTCCCCGCAGGGATTTTCAGATCAACCATGCCATCTACCGTTGGAACCTTGATGGTAGTGCCCAAGATGGCATCGATGTAGGACACTTTGCAAGTGTACAAGATATTGGTATCGTCACGTTTTAGGACAGGGTCAGGTGTAACGTCGATAATAACAAAAAGATCCCCAGGAGATCCACCTCGTCTTCCTGCATTCCCTTCATTTCGAACTCTTAGACGACTACCACCATCAACGCCTGCTGGAACTTTTAAACTTATCCGCTTTGTCCTCCGTACTCGCCCATCCCCAGAACATGTGTTGCAAGGTGTGGATATTTCACCAGATCCGCCACATGAAGAGCAAGTCATGACCTGCTGGAAGACACCTAAAGGAGTCCTGGCTGATGAGACGACCTGACCTTGACCACCACATGTGCTACATCTCGTTGGTTGGGTTCCAGGTTTAGCACCAGATCCTTCACAAGTCCCACAGCTCTCCAGTCTGCTAATCTCAATCTCCTTTTCGACACCAAAAACAGCCTCCTTGAAGTCCAACACGAGATTGTAATACTCATCTTGTCCATCAACTGCTCTACTCCTTGAACCTCTGCCTCCCATGCCCATACCTCCCATGCCGCCCATGCCGCCCATGCCACCCATGCCCTCAAATAGAGACTCAAAGAGATCAAAAGGATTACTGAAATCCTGAAGAAGTGCAGACGAACACAAGTCAGGCAAAGAAACTTCATAAATATATTTTTCATATTTCCATCAGAGAATTACTTACCCCCATGCCCATACCAGCACCTTTAAGGCCAGCCTCTCCATATTTATCGTAGAGTGAGCGTTTCTCATCGTCAGACAAGACCTGAAACAGGTGAATTCCAGGGATATTAGTTGCCATGGGTCATACTCCAAACTGTCAAATCTAAACACAAACATGAGCTACAAGACTCTTCTTACTTCATAAGCATTACTAATTTCCTTGAACTTTTGTTCAGCCCCAGGATCTCTGATTGAACATAAAACAACGAGTTAAAAAATACATATTATTCAACTGAACTACCGCTGAATAGGAAAATAAAGAATGACTAAAACTAAGATCGGAAAAACAAGGTTAAAGTGGGACCCTGTCACGTCTGTTATAATCTGTACCACTGCCTAGTTTTTTCATCCCTAAAAGGAAGTTATATAACTTACTTGTTCACATCTGGATGGTAACTCCTCGCCAGTTTCCGGTAAGCTGAAGAGTGCAAAATATCATATCATGAGGGATAAGGTAATATATAATGGATAAGACATATCTAGGAGTCAGTATTAAGTTAGATGAAAAAAGTAACAAATCAAATATACATCAGAAGAAGTCTCTTCCTCAGATCCATGTCTTGAATTGGCATACTTGTTCCTCCTCCAAGAACATAATCACCTAACATTTGATTCTACCGGGCTTAAGCACCACTATATCTCTTTCACAGTTTGAATATATTAACTAATCTTTCTAATAGGTGACACTCATTCTCCGTATAAAAAAAAGTAGGTTCTTTCTTTGGACGTTATCCTTTCATGGACTTTTCGTTTCTCATTGTCACAAATACAAATGCACACAAGGCGTTATTTAATGTGAGACAACATGTATGATGTATATTTGTTAAGCAAAAGCAGAATCAGATAGCCATTCTCCCCAAATATACGACTGTCAGATTTATGATGGAGTGTTTATCAGAATCATATTAGTAATAAGCTGGAGTGTGAGGAAAGTTCGTTAGCACGAGTCCCTAACCATATCTCTACCAATGTGCTCATCAAATTCTTATTCCTATCAGAACACTGAAGGAAACATAGAGTAAACGATATTTCATTATGCATTAAAGATAATAGCCATCAACAAGCAGTGAAATACAGCCCAATAATAATGAAAGCATAGAAAATTGGGCGTTTAAAAAAAATAAAGAAAGAAAGAAATTCAACGGAACATGAACAAAGCCCATGGCATGTTGACAGGATAATGCCACCTGATCCAATAAGGACTTGACAGAATCAACTATTATAAAACTGGTCAAAGAAATGTCAAGTTGTCATAGATAAGCAGTGAAAGGTCTTGAAAGGTCTTCAAACTCTATTTATCTGAAGATTTATTATTTCATGAGTTACTTTACCTTGCCTAAGTCCTAAATGCAGGAGAGATCACGAACAGTACTTCTAATGACTAGAAGAAAACTCAAATCCTAAAGAAAAAATACAGTTTATCACAACCAATTGTGAGTTAATAACTTGTGGCTACAATTAGATTCAACGAATTGCTGCCATAAATTTGCATAAAACAAGAAAGAGAGAGAAGCCTTCCTTTTTTTCCCCATCGACTGTGGGGAGGGGGGTAGATGTTCAAGACATGCAAAAATAGCAACACATAAAAACCAAAAAGTTAAATAGATTCTAAGGAAAAGTTAGGTACCACTTTTAATATCAGATTTACTGGCATTTTTTGACACTCCAAGGATAGAGTAAAAATCCTGCAAATTAAATAATGAGCGTTATAATTTTTAAACAATAGAAGAAGAAAATCTCTCGACCTACTCTCCTTTTTTTTTTTTTTTTTTTTTT